CCGACTCGACGGCACATAACAACAACAACAACAATGAAGTAGATGTAGCTTTGAAAATGTCAGATTTGACATTTTCCCCTACCATCCCACACTATTCTTACTCCTTCAAAAAGAGAGAATACAAATAAATTATTTTATGTATTGGCATGCCAGATCCTAGAATGATTAACAAAATGTATGTGTTTTTGTGAAAAGTAAAGCATCCCAAGACACCTTTCCCATCTCCAAGAAAACCACTTGGATTTTTTCATCACCTTTGACACTAATATATATTCTGAGTACTCTGCAAGGTTTTCCAATATATACGACATTGCTTTCTTAGATCTGAACAGCAATAGTCTAGCTCCAGGGTACTCTAACAGAAGACCAACAAAGAGGATAAATAGTGCATAACTCATACTTGATAACTTCCCTTCATTTTTCAGACAGCGCCAGTTGCCCTTGAGGCAGAAAACAGAGGTGAAATGAAGTTAGCCCTTCAGTATGTCCCAGAGCCAAGTCCTGGTATGTAATGATTTTCTGTCCAGATTCATGCCCCTTCCTTCCCCCTCCCTTCTCCAAGGATTTCTTTGCATTCTAATATATAGTGAAACCTATGAGAGCCTTGGAACTCATAGTGATTGCATTTTTTCCCCACGTCTCACAAGTTTTCTGCTTTTAACAGGATATAGTCTTACCACTTTCTGTCACTCTCTATTAGTAGAAAGTATTTCCTTCTCTGATAGGTTTCCAACTTACATAAGTTCCACCTTTCATAGACTTTACTGTATTTCCAAAGATGAAGCCCCAAACTTCTAACTTAGTAATAGTATACATCACATGAGCCAATTCACAGTTGTAAAGTAGGAAATTCTACATTTTTATGTTAAGTTTAACTGTCACCTCACTCTCCAAAAAATTTGCACTACATAATTTGAATGGCTTTTGCTATATTCAGAATTTGGACCTATGATAATGCTGTGATGAAAATAACACACTTGACTATTCTTTTTCATAGATGGGAATTAGAGGAATTTAAAAGAAGCCACCTAGTAAATTAGAGCTCATTGTTCCTATACTCTCAGGATCTCACTAGGAGATAAAGCCTTTTCCTCAAGATTACTAATTGCATCCTTAACATTAGGCCTCCATTCTTCAACCCCATTAATGAGCAGGAGACTGGCAGGAAACAAATGTTAGCCTCTCTCTCATTTCCAGAGCAAGTTCCCCGAGTTACTCTTCTTAAGCATCTGTAAGAATGCAATGGCAAAAATCAAATACTTTTGATTTTTGCAATGGCAAACTCAAATACTTTTAGGAACCAGACTGTGAAACTAGTGGGATGAAAGAAATAATGGACATTGAGGGCAATGACAGAGTTAGAGGACTCGCTGCCAGAGAGTCATTTCCAACTCACAGCAACCATATAGGACAGAAGAGAACTGCTCCATAGGGTTTCCAAGGCTGTAAATCTTTATAGAAGGAAGGAAGGTTGGGCAATCTACTTCCATAGTGATACTGCCTCGGAAACCCAAGGAGGGGTCACTGAGTTGGATCCGACTCAATGGCAGTGAGTTTTTGATTTGGTTTTCTCTCTCAGAGCAGCAGATGGTTCTGAACTGCCAGCTTTTGCTTAGTCGCTGAGTGCTTAACCATTGAGCCGCCAGGGCTCCTTGACCTAGAGAAGGACATTCTAATTCAGTTTAAGAGCGAAGAAAAGTATTGGAGAGCAAGTAAAATATACCATTAGGCCACATTTCTGCCAGATCACCATTGTGTGACTTTTGGATCTGCCTGAAAAGCAGGTTCTTTTGCATATAATTTGCATCTTACTACTTATGATCATATATTTGTGCCCATTCCAGAGATGATCCAACAGAATGTGGAAATTATCAAACAATATCATGAATATCATATACAAGTAAAATTTTGCTGAAGATAATTCAGGAATGCTTGCAGCACTGACAGGAACTACCAGAAATTCAAGCCAGATCCAGAAGAGGACATGGAATGAGGGATATCATTGCTAATGTCAGATGGATCTTGGATGAAAGCAAATAATACCAGAAAGATGTTTACCTGTGTCTTATTGACTATGCAAAGGCATTAGACTATGTGGATCATAAAACATTATGGAACATTGTGAAGAATAGGAATTCCAGAACTTTATTGGTGTTCATGTGGGACCTGTAGATAGACCAAGAGGTAATCATTTGAACAGAACAAGGAGATACTGTGTGGTTTCAGATCAGGAAAGGTGTGCATCAGGGTTGTATCCTTTCACCATATTTATCCAATCTGTGTGCTGAACAAATAATCAGAGAAGCTGGACTATAAGAAGAAGAATGGAGCATCAGGATTGAAGAAAGACTCATTAACAACCTGCAATACACAGATGGCACAACTTTGCTGGTTAAAAGTGAAGAGAACTTGAAGCACTTCCTGATAAAGATCAAAACAAATTCTGCTCTGTAAATTTGCACCCAGAACACAATTGAAAAAAAAAAAAGACTACAGCCTTCAGTATGGATTACACCTCAACATAAAGAAAACAAAAATCCTCGCAACTAGGCCAATAAGCTGCATCATAATAAATGAAGAAAATATTGACGTTGTCAAGGATTTCATTTTACTTGGATTCACAATCAACAACTATGGAAGCAGGAGTCAAGAAATCAAACGACCTATTGCATTGAGCAAATCTGTTGCATAAGACCTTTTTAAAGTGCTAAAGAGCAAAGATGTCACTTTGAGGACTAAAGTGCATCTGACCCAAGCCATGGTGTTTTCAGAAGAATGAACAAATCTATCTTGGTAGAAGTACAGCCAGAATGCTCCTTAGAAACAAAGATGGTGAGACTTTGTTTTATATTCTTTGGATATGTTATCAGAAGTGATCAGTCCCTGGAGAATGACATCATGCTTGGTAGAGGGCCAGCAAAAAAGAGGAAGACACTCAACAAGATGGATTGACACCATGGCTGCAACAATGGGCACAAACATAGAATGATTGTGAGGATGTAGCAGGACTAGGCAGTGTTGTTTCTGTTGTACACAGGAGTGCTATGAGTCAGAGCTGACTCAGTGGCATCTAACAACACTAACACTTATGATCAAAAGGAGCCCCTGTGGTGCAGTAGTTAAACACTTTGCTCACTGAGATGTTGGTGGTTTGAACCTACCAGTGACTCCACAGGAAAAAAAACCTAGCAATCTGGTGCCATAATTATTTCAGGCTTAGAAACCCTATGAAGCAGTTCTACTTTATCTTGTAGGGACACTATGACTCAGAATTTACTAGACATCACTGAACAACAATACTTATGATCAAAGGAGCCCTGATGTTGAAATAGTTAAACCCTAGGCTGCTGACCTAAATGTTGTTGGTTGGAACCCACCCACCCACCCAGTGGCTCCACGGGAGAAAGACCTGGCCCTCCCTCTACTGCTACTGCTGTAAAGATTGCAGCCTAGAAAACCCAATGGGATAGTTCCACTGTGTCTTGTGGGATGGTTGTAAGTCAAAAATGCACCTGACCACACCTATCAACTACAACAGCTTATGATCAACAGGCATAGAAATTTTGCCAACCCATTTTCCCATTTCCACCCCTGTCTTTTCTTGGTGTTAGGGGTAGAGGGGATTGTGTGTTGTGACAGATTCTACCTTGTCTGAGGTTTTGCTTATGTTGTTCTTTTTCCCTAAAATGGCTTCCTCATCTCAGTCTATCCAAGTCTCAGATGAAGTCCAATCTCCTCCACAAAGCTTTCTCTAATTATAGTGGCTCTCACTAATCCCCTTTTTCTTCTAAAACATTGCAGTAATACCTTGGCATGTAATTCCATATTACAATTTTATTGGTTTTATTTGAATTACTCTCTCCAGAGAGTAATGTTTCCAAGGACACAAGGATATATAGATATAGATATAAATATAGATATTTTATATTCTTTGTATATCTAAGAACATTCCTCACATAAGGCTGAGCACACAATAAATGCTCATTAAATACTCGTTGGTTGACTAATTGGTCTAACCCATCCAGGGAAAAATCTGATAATGTTCCTTTGTCCATGTGTACACAACCTAGACAACAATTTCTAATCAAGCCGACTTCTCAGTAATTTCCTATTCCCTGTTATGTGTGTACATACAGTATCCCTGTAAAATGTATAACCACTTTTAATAGCAAGTGGCTATACCTTAATCAGTACCTATTTTGGTTACTTTAGACACAAATATGTTTAAAATGCCTCCTATAAACATAATTTGATATTGTTATTAACATTTGAAAGGTATATGCATTTCATTGAAATGATTTGAATAAACCTAAAATGGATGATTCACTCTGTACTTAGAGTCAATCAATCAATATAAATTATTTTCATAAAGTTCTCAGAGCCCAGTATATCCAGAATATGAAAGATACAATTAAGAATGTATAGATTTAACCAATTAGGATAATCCCATAAGCGCTATCTAATATTATTGTGCCAAACCATTTTTAGACTGACATCTTTGGATACATTATTGTTGAGAGGGGGGTGGCAATAAAATTTATCTTCTCTCATTTTTCTATTGTAGGTAAAAAGCTGCCTACAACTGGAGAAGTACACATCTGGGTGAAGGAATGCCTTGATCTACCACTGCTAAGGGGCAGCCATCTGAATTCGTTCGTTAAGTGGTAACAGCATTGATAACTCTGCCTCCTCACTTCTACTATAATCTGGTCTTCACTGGTCTAAGTCTGTGTTGCTGAAACTCGTTGCTCTTAGTTTAAAAGAACTTAACTTAAAGCAATGGAGACATGAAATAGAGGGATCTAGGACATGAATCTCCAAGGCCCCATTTAGTTTTAAAAGCATAAAGCTAAGAGGACATGTATACTAATGAAACCAGAAACTTCATATTCAGATATGTCATGTTTTCCAGGGGTACATCAGCTGGTAAAGACACTATTTCATACAAAAGACTTATAAAATTTCTGATAGTGAATGCCTCAACACTTGGCTCCTTTGTGGAGCTGGGAGAATTTTTACTCCTGGCCTTTATCCCACCTCTTTTGTGGCCCATTTGCAAAGGGCCTTGACATCAGCCTGTAGATATTTGGCAAATGATTTGCTAAACAAACCCTACTAAGGATTAGATCATAAGAGCTTAAGACGGTTTTGATTTTAAATGACAGGGTTTTTTTTGTTTTTTCTGTTATACATAAAATATCTAGTTATATCTAGCCTAGTGTCT